CACTCACCCACCGAGCCACAATGGCCAGGCTCAACTGCAACATTCTTAAAAATCGGGATCATTTCACTTTTTAAAAAAATATATTTTATTGATTTTTTTACAAAGAGGAAGGGAGAGGGATAGAGAGTTAGAAACGATAAAGAGTTAGAAACATCGATCAGCTGCCTCCTGCACACCTCCTAGTGGGGATGCAGCCACAACCACGGCACATGCCCCTGACCGGAATCGAACCCAGGACCTTTCAGTCCACAGGCCAACGCTCTATCCACTGAGCCCAACCAGTTAGGGCTTCAATGTATATTTAAATGTACACCGGGGTGCAACTATCACCACCACCCATCACCCAGAAGGTTCCCTTGTGCCCATTTGCAAAGCCGTGTCACCTATCTTCTGAGAAATCTGCTAGGTGGGCGTTGCCCCATTTTGCGGGTGAGAAAACTGAGGCTCAGAGGGGGCAGACCCACGTCCGAGGCCATGTGGCTAGGAAGTGGTGTAGCACGGACTCAAGTCCACGCAGCTGGCCTCTTCGGGGGAGCAGGAGGACCCAGGATTCTGAGTCTCTCCTTCAGGGCCCCGACTTCAGTCCAGATCTCCCTAGATAGTGGTGGAGACTACAGCTTTCTGCCCCTGAATCCCAGCCCAGACCCGTCCGGCTACCAGAGTTCCTCTCCTCTCATCCACCCAAATGTGTTTGAAATTTACCAGGAGAAAAGCAAGTTTCTTGGGCATTGCCACTTCCCAGGAAAACAGAGTTAAGGAAAAATGTATTCGTTTCTCCTTTTAAAAGTTGCCCCAGACATGGTGCTCAATGGAGGAAGCCAGACACAGCAGCTCCCTCTTCTACGATCCCGCCTGTAGGACGGTCAGGCACAGGCAGGTCCAGAGACAGGAAGCTGACTGTTGGGTGTCAGGGGCTGGGGCGCACCTGCTAATGGGGACGGGGTTTCCGGTTCCGTTTGAGAAGATAAAAAGGTTCTGAAGTGGACAGGGGTACTCAGTGCACAACACTGTGAGTGCACTCGATGCCACTTAATGGTGCACTTTGAAAGGGCTAAAATCCTGAATTTTATGTTATACGTGTTTCACCATAATTTTAAAAACGTTTCCTTGGGCTAACATCTCACAGAGTCCACTATGTTTCCGCATGAGTCGCACCTTGACAACGGTTCTGGCATTTGGCCCTTCGACCAATGAACAGTGCCACTAGCCAGTAACCACGAAAGGACTGAAGCAGTGAGGCGTCACTCTGACCTTGCCCACAGCCCGCCCCCTTACCTTCATGCCTTCTTCCTTTCCACTTTCGATCAATTCGTCTAGTCTTCTCCTTTCTTCAAACTGGGAAGAAAACACGGGGCGCGTCAGCCTTCCTCCAGGCCACTCTGGACCCAGCGGGGCCACGCCACAAGGTCACCCAGAGTCAGCCTCCATGACATCGGTCCCCGGGGATGCCCAACCCCCCCAGCACCCCCATCCTTTCCTCACTGCCCATCTGGTGTGGACAGTTTGCCAGCTGGGGCTCCACTGGACCAGGAGGGACACAGAAAAGGCCCAAGGCAGAATCGGGGTGTGGCTGTGTTCTGTTTGGGCCATGCAGTGTTTTGAAAAATATTTAGATTGCCGACATCCAAAATCAGGACTCTGACTTGATACAAAGTCAGCTGGAGCTGACGGGAGGCTGTGCCCATCGGACGGGGCGTGGGTGAGAAAGGCCTTGCACCCCAAAGTCAACGTCCTGAACGGAGGAGCTGGAGAGGAGAGGGGTGCTCGGGCTCACCTGTCCCCAGGGCCGCCCCCTCCCGGTCCCCCTGTCTGTCCGTGCGCAAGACCCTGCAGAGACCTGTCAGAGCCAGACCAGCAGCCCCAGCCCAGCACACGGGGCAGCACCCA